TTGTTTAGGCCACTTTTAGAATATTGTGTTCAATCCTGGTCTCCCTGCTATAGAAAAGATACTGTTAAACTTGAAAGGGTGCAGAAAAGATTTAAAAGGAGGTTGCCAGGGCTGGAGTGTTTGAGCTAGAGGGAGAGGCTGAATAGACTGGGGCTACTTTCCCTGGAGTGGCGGAAGCTGAGACGAGCCCTTACAGAAGTTTATAAAATCATGAGGGGCATGGATAGGGTGAATAGCCATGGTCTTTTTCCCATGGTAGGGGAGTCCAAAACTAGAGGACATAGGTTTAAGGTGAGAAGGGAAAGATTTAAAAGGTACCTGAGGGGTAATTTTTCCATGCATAAGGTGGTACGTGTATGGAATGAGCTGCCAGAAGAGATGATGGAGGCTGGTATAATTACAACATTTAAAAAGCATCTGGATGGGTATACGAATAGGAAGTGTTTAGGGGACTATTGGCCAAATGCTAGCAAATGGGACTACATTAATTTATCATTGTGAAAGGCCTGTTATTCTGAACTTTTTATTTCTTCATTTTTCTAATTTATTACTATGATTTTGTACTTTTGAAGGTCTGTCATGCTGCTCTTTTTATTTCTTTATTTTTCCATTTTTTTCCCTAAGAATTTGCATTCAAGAATCTGTACCTAGGTACTCTTGTACCTAAGATGGTGCCATAAGTGGCAACCTGCAAATTTTTCACTGTCCTCATGTGAGTACATGTGACATAAAACAAATTCAATTCAGTTCTGGAGCACAGATCTTTAGTATTATTGCCAGAATGCTTTCATAGCCCACAGCCTTTGCAGTATCCAATGCCTCCAACCACTTTTTGATATCACATGGAGTGAATCATGTTGACTAAAGTCTGCCATCTGTGATCTGAGATCACTAGAAGAGGTCAAGATAGATAGATCACCTACTTGGTACTTCTAGCTGAAGATTGCTGCAAATGTTTCAGCCTTATCTTTTGCACTGATGTGTTGGGCTCTTTCATCATTGAGAATGGGGATATTGTAGGCTCTCCTTCTCCAGTGAATTGTTTAGTTGTTGATCATTATTCATGACTGAATGTGGCAGGCCTGTAGAGCTTAGATCTGATCTGTTTGTTGTGGCATTGCCTAGCTGTGTCTATCACTTGCTGCTTATACTTTTTGGCATGCAAGTAAATGTTTGGTAGTTTTACCAGGTTGGCATCTCATTTTATGTATGCCTAGTTCTCCTTCAGGCATTCCCTCCTGTGCTCTCCATTGAACCAGGGTTGATCCCCTGACTTTATGGCCATAGTTGAGTAGGGGATAGGCTGGGCAAATTGTGTTGGACTACGATTCTACTGCTGTTGATAGACCAAAGTGCCTCATAGATGCGCCGTCTTGCAAGATCCGTTTGAAGTCTGTCCCATTTAGCATCGTGATAGCGCCACATTTTTTTTCCTTTATTCATTAACAGGATGAGGGTGTCGCTGGCTAGGCAACATTTATTACCCATCCCTAACTGCCCAGAGGGCAGTTCAGAGTCAACCACATTGCTGTGGGTCTGGAGTCACATGTAGGCTAGGCAAGGTAAGGATGGCAGTTTCCTTCCCTAGAAGGACACTAGTGAACCAAATGGGTTTTCCCGACAATCAACGATGGATTCATGGTCATTAGATCCTTAATTCCAGATATTTTTATTGAATTCAAATTCCACTATCTGCCATGGTGGGATTCGAAGCCGGGTCCTCAGAACATTATCTGGGTCTCTGGATTAACAGTCCAGCAATAATACTACTCGGCCAATGCCTCCTCCTTGTATCACGATGGAGAGTATTCTCAAAGTGAAAGTGGGTTTTTCTTTCCACAAGGATTGTGCGGTGGTCACTTTTACTGATGCTGTCATGGATAGATGCACCTGCAGCAGGCAGATTGGTGAGGATTAGTTCAAGTATATCTTTCCCTCCACACCTGCTGATGTTTCAGACCCAGTCCAGCTAGATCAGTATTGCTGCTGCTGAGCCACTTTTGATGGTTGATATTGAAATTAGTTCAGGGAGGATGGTAAGTGGTAATCAGCAAGAGATTTTGTTGCCTATGTTTAACCTGATACTATTAGACTACATGAATCAATGAAGAGGAATCTTGGTGCAACTCCCTCCTGATTGTATCCGACTGTGCTATTTAGGGTACCTTTTTTGGCTGCCAGTGGGAGAGGATATATCCAGGGATGGTGATGGTGGCATTGTCTGTAAAGTACGGTTCCTTGAGTATGGCTAGATTGTTTGACTCCTTATGTTAGTAAGGAGGATTCTGCAGGGTTAATTGAAGGGCATTAATGAGCCAGATGGTTTTCTGATATTCATCAATGGTTTCACGGTCATCATTAGATTTTTATTGCCAGGTATTCTTATTGAATTCAAACTCCATTCTGTCTTGGTGGGATTTGAACATACATCCCCAGAATGTTAGATGAATTTCTGGACCTAGTGATAATGTCATTAGGCCATTGCCTCTTTTGCCATTGTAGCACTGGATTAACTACTTGGCAATTGTGAATTAGTAGCAAATCAATAAATCAAGTAATTAATGAATGATGACCAGGAAATAATCATAAAAGCTTCTGGAGTCTCATACATGTCACTGACGGAGGTGCAGTGTCTAGTGGAATGTCTGACAGAGATGTCAGAGACCATTCACAGACTGGAGTGACAGATAGAGAAGTCTGCTCATGTTCTGTCTGAAATCATTGAATGCGAGCACAGAGTCTGCTTCCACAGAATGGGTGGTGGCTGCCATGGAGAGCCAGACCCAGCAGAACAGTAAACATTTCCCAGATATGCACTTGGACCTTCTCTCCATTGCTTCAGCTATTCATTCACTGGCTTGGAGTAAGGGATCCAAGGGGCCTTGGCCTCCTTTGAAGTGCCCCATCTCATCAAGGAAGGTGCCATTCTAGATCTTGGCAAAATGTTAGACAGACTCCATGGGATTCTCCACTCTAGGCACTAGAGGTGCCTTGCCACACCACTTTGCTTCTGCCTGAGAATCATACGTCTCCATCAACTCAGGCTGGGAAGGTTGTACCTGACCAAGCAGGCTGACACCTCTGAGCACTGGGCCAACAGAGGACACCTGTTAAAGTCACCTGTGGAAAGGAAGCCAAGAAGTCAGCTGCTTTCAGCAGCTCTCCTATGGTTGCCAAGGGAGCATCCAGATCTATTGGTGGGAAGACAAGATGAAAGAATATTAAAGTCACTCTGGGTGCTTGGGTATCAAACTTTTTTAACACCCTGACAGCTGCATGTGTAGGAAGTGTGTCCATCTGCAGCTACTGGCTAACTGCTTTTCAGAGCTGAAGTTGTGGGTTGACGCACTGTTGAGCATCGGTGATACTGAGAATATTGCGGACAGCACATTTAGCCAGTTGGTCACACTGCAGGCGAGGATTATACAGGCAGAAAGGGAATCGGTAGCCATTAGATAAAGTGAAAGGCTCAGGAAGGAAGTGCAAGAGTCCCCAGTGGTCATCCCCTTTTCAAACAGATATATCGCTTTGGAATCTGTTGGGAGTGGGGGAGGGGGTAGGCGAGTGGAGTGGCCTCTCAGGTGAAGTCAGCCACAGCCACGTTCATGACACCACAGACAGCTCTGCTGCACACAAGGGCAGGAAAAAGAGTGGCAGGGCTATAATGGCATGGAATTCAATAGTCAGGGGTACAGACAGTGACTTCTGAGGCCACAGACATGAATCCAGCATGGTATGTTAACTCCCTGGTGCCAAGTTCAGGGATATCATGGAGCAGCTGCAAGGCATTCAGGAGCATGAGGGTGAATAGCCAGTAGTTGTGGAACACATAGATACCAATGACATAGCTAAACAAAGGGGTGCAGGCATGAATATAGTAAGGTAGGAGATATATTAAAATGTTAGACCTTAAATATAATAATGTCAGACTTACTCCGAGTGCCACGTGCTACGAGAGCAGGAATAAGAGGATAGATTAGATGACTGCATGGCTGGAGAAATGGTGTCCCAGACAGGAGTTTAGATTCTTGAGGCATTGGGACTGTTTCTGGATAAGGTGGGACCTGTATAAGCCTGACCGGTTGCCCCTCGGCAAAGCTGGGATAAATCTCCTCTTGGGGCCTTTCACTAGTTCCATTGGTGAGGTTTTAAACTAGTATGGCAGGGGAATGGGAACCAAAGTGCAGGCTGAGATGGGTCAGATTCAGATTAGCAAATGGTAGGTAGACTATTAGTTAGTGACGCAGTCAGCAGCTCAGAAAGACAAAAGAAAGGAGAATCAAATGAGGACCAATGTTAGCAAAGATGGAATGAATCAGGTGAGAACTGAATGACGTAAGACTAGAAAGTAAATTTAGTATAATGTTAACCCTGGATGAGATGGTTAAAATGAAACATTTTTCTTCAGATTGTAGCCACCAAAGTACATAAAAATCTCTATAGTTCTCAGGCTATGAATGTGCCATACATCTTTTCCTTTATCCTTCAAGGTGAAGATGACCATGTTCATCATCTGGAGTATTCAGGAGCTTTTCGATAGGTATGCAAAAGTTTTCTGAGGCTGATCTGTAGCTGGAAGAGTTTGCGACATTAGAATAAAATATCAGAGTGATTGAATCAACTTTGAATGAGTTGTTGGTTTGGGACCTCCTCTCTCTGCATTTCTGATATATATATATTTGTAAATAACCTATTCAGAGATGTTACGTCACACCTCTGGTGCAGGTGAGACTTGAACCCAAACTTCCTGGCCCTCAGAGTCTCTGATATATGCTTGTTTCCAAAGGTTGCTTACTCAGTTGCATCAGGTGCAAGATCCTGGGCAAGCTCCTCCCAGGACTCAAGGTTGATATCAAAACTGCTAAGTTAAGCATTCAGAGTACCCTTTGATCACCATGAGTGTGCAGACTTAAACACTACATAGAAAACATGGCATAAGTACAGAATACCAAAAAGCATTTTTTCATTAATTACTATAATTTATTCCATAAACTGCTCTGTAGTATTCTAGTCTTTGCTTTATCTACATTATTTGCAACATTTTACATTAGTGCCAGTACCATTGGTAATTCATAAAAGCTACAAAATACTACTCCAAAGCATGGTATAGTTTGAGCTTAAATTCTAAATGTGCAGTACATTGCAACAGAACTTCAGAACTAAAGTAACGTACCAATATCGTTTGTTACTTTTTGTAAGGAATAATGTTTATTTTACAGCTCCTATTGAAGGGGAATTGCATTGCATTCAAGATCAGTGCAAATAATGAAAACAAATCTAAGCAAAACTGTAGAGGACCAATACAATGACATAAATCGTTGTAAAACAAAATCAGCACATCATCTTGGCCGATTTCAAATTGTGAAAAATCATCAAATTTAAAATACAATAATCAAACACTGACTACCTGTTGTGAGGAATGTTTTAAATTAGCAGCATGAAGACAAATCACTGAAGAGGGATAAACCATTGACATCACTTGGGGAATGTATAAAGGGAACACATCTTCATGCACTGAATTTTTATTGTGGTAACTACTGTGCCTTCATTTCAGTTGATCTCAATAAGCTTTGAGAATCTCATAGATCTCTTTAATACACAAGGAAGAATGGAAGAATGATTTATATCTCTGGAAGTCCCAATTTTACCTTTCTCTCTTTTAATTAGAATACTGCTATTTATTTGGCACTTCTGTTAAAATAACTGCTGATACTGGAATTTCACAGCCTTGGTCTACTGCTGGCATTTTCTTTAAGCCACAACAATAAAATGAGAACCTATAAAGGCTATCACTTCATATCACAGAGATTTTCTGTATTGATTACAATAGCTCATCAGTGCAGATCATTATATACAAAGTATTTCAATAAATAATTGGTTTATTTGCATTCTATGTGATAATATTAGAAATCAAAGATATGTTTAATTAACACAAAAAGTGGAATGTTTTTGAACACATATGAAAATAAAAAGCATTCAGTAATTTAACAAACAATGCTGTAAACCAAAACATATCAACTGTAATTCAAATCCATCTCGGGAAATTCTCAAGGCACTTCCTAGGCAAATCGCATTTCCATCTTCAATGATTTTGGTCTGCAAGAAAATGGAAATCAACAATTTAGGTTGCAACACCATTGATGTATTTTTAATTTGTATAAGCTGTGCATGCATTTATTGCATCTCCTTTTTTTCACAATGTAGCATCAAAATGTTAGTTTAATTGAGATCTCTGAACACAGTGCTGGTGGGATTTCTGAACTAGTGGTCTTGGCCTATTCATTCAGAGTTGGAAACCAGCTGGAGATGAAACTGGATCGTGTATATTTTGCCAATATTTTCAATGCTGTAATTCCACATGTTTTTCTTTCTTCTATTCACACATCTTGCCTCCCTTTTCAACTTTTTTACATGCTTTCTCTACCATGTGTTTTCATCATCTCCAATACTTGCCATTTCTTTTGTTTCTTTTACGCCTTTACATCACCCGCCCCTACAGCTTTCATAATATCCAATAGTTTTGGGAGAATAATTTATTGGTCATTCAACTCATTCTGTGACCAGAGTACTGACTATTCCCTTTTCATTCTTCCTTTCTATATTATGTTCCAACTAACTATTCTGGTATGGAGCGAAAGTGGGCAGATGGAATTGAGATACTGATCAACTAGATTAACTCAACGAACCAATTCCATGGCATTTATAAAAATAAAGATTTATATCTGATATAATAGAAGTATTTAAAATTATGAAGAATGGGGCAGAGTAGAAAGGCATTGATGAAAATAAATTGGACTGGCACTGGAAGGCAGCACAGAGTTGGTTACAGGCCAAGAATGCACTCCGAAATGCGAATGTCTGAGGGTTACTGTGTATTGGGAACATAGGAACAGGAGTAGGCCATTCAGCACCTTGACTGTGCTCAGCAATTCAATGAGATCATGGCTGATCTCTGGCATAACTCCATTTGGGCCCATGTCCCTTGATATGATTGCTTAATAAAAGTTTGTCCATTTCAAATTTAAATTTAACTATTGAATTAGCATTGACCTCTGTTTGAAGAAGAGAGTTCCAAACCTCCACTACTTTTTGCATGTAGGAGTGCTTTCTAACATCTCTCTTGAATGGCCTGGTCGTAATTCTCAGACTATGCCCCCAGACTCTAGAATCTTCAACTAGTGAAAATAGTTTATCTTTATGTATGTTTTTTCCCTGTTAATATCCTGAAAACCTTAACTAGTTCACCCATTAGCCTTCTAAATTCTAGACAATAAAGGCTTAATTTGTCCAATCTCCCCTCATAACTTGGAAGTCCATAACTTCAACCCTTGAGGTCCGGGTATAAGCCTTTTAAACTTGTGCCAAACTCTCTCCCAGGCCTAAAAACATTCTACCTGAGGCATGATATCCAGATCTGCCCACTGTACTCTAAGTGGGGTCTAATTAAGATTTTGTATAACTGCAGCATAATGTCTGCATTCATACACTTCAGCCTTTAAATATGAAGGCCAACATTCCTTTAGCTTCCTTGACTATTTTCATGGATAACAAGGTGTAGAGCTGGATGAGCACAGCAGACCAAGCAGCATCAGAGGAGCAGGAAGGCTGACGTTTCGGGCCTAGACCCCTCTTGACTATTTTCATATCTGTTTGTAACATTTTAAACAGATATGCATCTGAATCCTCAAATCTCATTTGCCATCCACTGTATTTACCTTTGTGCCTTCTAGAAACCCCTGATCTATCCTTATCTAAAGCCTTCTAGAAGTACATGTAAACTTACCTTTGTCCACCACCTCTGTCACCTCTTCAAAAAACTCAATGAGGTTTGTCAGACATGACCTACCTTTCATGAATCCATGCTGACCCTCCCTGATTGACTGAAATTTTATGAGGAAATCAGTTCCCTAACTTTGATTATGGACTCCAACAACTTCCCCCACCAGAGGTAGCAGGCTAACTGGTCTGTAATTCCATGGTTTCATTCTGTCACCATTCTTAAAGAGAAAAATGAAATGAACAAATTGCCAATCCTGAGGTACAACTCCTGATCTCTGAAAGATTATGGTTAGAGTGTATTTGTCTTTAGGTCTCATCAGTGTAAGACAAATGAGCTGCATATCGCTCTCAGGATCACCACTCATGGTCATCACAAAATCTGCTGGCTTTGGTATTGAGTGAGTTCATAGGTAAACTCTGAGTAAACAGAAACAAAAGGAGAAAGTAGAAATATTGGCTGTCGGTTCTTCGAATGGCCACAAATTTGCCTTTGAGAAAAATATATTGGAAATTGCTCTTAACTTTGAAATCGTTGACATGCAGTTTGCAATCCTATGTTTATTTCTTTGCATTCTTTTTCAGTTCTACTATTGTTTGCTCAATAACACTATAGATAGAAACATCTCAATTCAGAGCCAAGGAAAAAAAAGTTTATAGATAATTTGAACTACTAATATAACCATACTTTTTGAAGCATTGTTTTTAGGCTGTGGCTTTTCTTTTATTACAGCACTGTACATCACCATACATTATTTTTGCAACATTATCATGTACATTTTTGTAATCTGGAAAATAATGGTTACATCATTTTAATTTTGTGAGAACTTAGGAAGATAACATCTATTTATGTAAAGCCCTGGCCAGAACTTTCCTGAGTTGTAATCACCTCGGTAACTCTCCCAGAAGTAGTGTGGAAACCTTATTTTCTAGCATGTCTTTCCAACTCCCTGCCAAAAAAAAACATATCTACAGCAGATGTTTCATTAAGTGAGTGTGAAATAGTGGTCAGATAGTCTTTGTTATGTAGCTACTTGCAAATCCTTGGAAAACACCTTCAAAAGATTGCATACGTTAACAACAAGACTGTTCAGTCCATCTGATTTATGCTACACACAAATCTTTATGTCATCTGAGCCTTCATTAAATTAATCAACAGCCAAATGTTGTAAATGTGCTACTATATGTTATTAAATCTATTAAAATTACCAACAATAACTCATTTCTTCCAATTAAAACATTAGAAATCAGGGAAAATCTGTTAAACAAGTGCACAAATCATAATGCAGGATTAACTGAGGATCAAGGGTCACTGGACCTGAAATGTTAACTCTGTTTTTTCCTTCACAGATCTGCTGAACTTTTCCAGCAACTTTGTTTTTGTTCCTGATTGATAGCATTTTTATTTAGTATTTAACTCACTGCCACATCTCTTGTAGGCATACATGCCTTGAAGAAGTTCTGGTCCTCTCTCCAACGGGATTTCCATTCCAATCTTTCTTCTTGCCCACTGACATTAATTTCACTGTCACTCCTGGTGTTTGACCAGGTATTTGCTAAAACTCGTTTCCACAGCCATATCACATTCCTCAGTGACTGCCTCCGGCTCAGACTCACCCCATGTGGATTCCAACTGAATTTTCATCTTTGATATAACAAGGTGTAGAGCTGGATGAACACAGCAGGCCAAGCAGCATCAGAGGAGCAGGAAAGCTCATCCTTCATGTTTTGAATCCTCCCAGGATCACAGATACCTCCGTGATGTTCAACGTTCTACGGATAGCTGTTCTCGCCGCATCCTGAGATCCATACTCAGTGTTATGCAGCGCCACATGCACACTCTCATCCTTTCTCTCCAACAGCATCGCAACACACTGGCTCAGGGCTGCACCATTCCGCAGTTCCACTTCATCCCCTGGCTTATTCATCGTGCTAACAAGAAACTTTTTCTTTTCCTTTCAGGCATCAAGGCCCACAAAATACAACAACTCAGAGATACCCATGGCCCTCTGGAACCTTCCTCTCCTCCCCTTCCCTCTGACTCCGTCCTCTTCCCCCAACCCCACCTCATATCAGGTATTCACCATCCCCCCTAACCGTCCACTCTACGATGCTGAATGCTCTGTACTCAGCAAAGGCCTCAGCTTTATTCTTCTGCGTCCCCACCTTAACGAATTTCGGGCACGGCATGACGCCAAACTCTTCTTCCGCCGTCTTCACCTCTGTGCTCATTTCTTTGGACATCCCACAGACCCCTTTGCCCAGCTTCAACACTCTCCCTCCACCTGGACCCCTCCCTCCAGCCTTTTACCTGCACTTGATCTGTTCATTGAAAACTGTCGACATGATATTATTCGCCTCAATTTCTCTACCCCTCTCATGAAATCCAACCTATCTCCCTCCAAACCCTGACCCTGACTTTGTTATTAAGCCTGCCGGTAAGGGTGGTGCTGTTGTAGTCTGGCTTACTGACCTCTATCTTGCAAAGGCTCAGCGCCAACTCTCAGATACCCCGTCCTACCTTCCCCTGGACCTTGACGCCACCATGACACATCAGGCCATTGTATCTACTACTGTAACTGATCTCATTTCATCCGGTGATCTCCCCGCTCTGCTTCCAAGCTGATAGTTCCCCAGACCCACACAGCTCACTTCTACCTCCTCCCAAAAATCCACAAATAGGACTGTCCCGGCAGACCCATTGTTTCAGCCTGCTCCTGCCCCACAGAACCCATCTCTTCCTACCTTGACTCAGTCTTCTCTCCCCTGGTCCAATCCCTGCCCACTTACATCCATGATTCCTCTGATGCCTTATGCCGGTTTCAAAACTTCCAGTTTGCTGGTTTCAGCTGCCTCCTCTTTACCATGGACATGCAATCCCTTTATATGTCCATTCCCCACCAGGAGGGTCTTAGGGGCCTCCACTTCTTCCTGGAGCAAAGACCTGAACCATCCCCACCCACCACCACACTCCTCCGCTTGGCCGAGCTCGTCCTCACTCTCAACAACTTCTCTTTTAGCTCCTCTCATTTTCTTCAGGTAAGCGGGGTGGCCATGGGTACCCACATGTGCCCCAGTTATGCCTGTTTCTTCATGGGGTACGTGGAACATTTCTTGTCCCAGTCCTATTCCGGCCCCCACCCACAACTCTTTCTCCGATACATTGATGATATCATCAGTGCTAATTCTCTCTCTCGTCTGGGATTGGAAAACTTCATCAATTTCACCTCCAATTTCCACCCTGCCCTGACTTTCATCTTGTCTATTTCTGACTTCTCCCTTCCCTCCCTTGAAATTTCTGTTTCTTTTTCTGGGAATAGACTGGCCAGTAATATACACTACAAACCCACTGACTCCCACAGCTACCTGGACTATACATCCGCACACCGCACTTCATGTAAAGACTCCATCCCATTCTCTCAGTTCCTCCGTCTCTGTTGTATATGTTCAGATGAGGCCAACTTCGACAATGGAGCCTCCGAAATGTCCACCTTCTTCCTCAACCGAGGATTCCCCAGCTCCGTTGTCGACGGGCCCTCAACCAGGTTCAACCCATCTCCCACACTTCTGCTGTCACCCCTTCTCTTCCCTCCTGCAACAGCAGTAGGGTTCCCCTTGTCCTTACCTACCATCCCACCAGCATCCACATCCAGAAGATCATCAGACGCCATTTCCACCACCTCCAGCAAGATGCAACCACTAGACACATATTCCCCTCCCTTCTCTTGTCCGCCTTCTGCAGGGACTGTTCCCTCTGGGACACACTGGTCCACACTTCCTTCACCCCCAACACCTCCCCACAGCCCTACGGCACCTTCCCCTGTAACCAGCGAAAGTGCAACACTTGTCCTTTTATCTCCTTCCTCCCCATTATCCAAGGACCCAAAAATACCTTCCAGGTGAAGCAACACATTTCCCAGAATCTAGTCTACTGCATTCACTGCTCACAATTTGGTATCCTTCTACACTGGGGAAACGAAGCGTAGACTGGGTGACCGCTTCGCAGAACATCTATGTTCCACTGGCAAAAAAGACCCTAAACTACCTGTTAAAAACCAAAAGAACTGCGGATGCTGTAAATCAGGAACAAAAACAAAGTTGCTGGAAAAGCTCAGCAGGTCTGGCAACATCTGTGAAGGAGAAAACAGAGTTAACATTTCGAGTCTGGTGACCCTTCCTCTGTTTTCTCCTAAACTACCTGTTGCCTGCCACTTTAACACACCACCCTGTTCCCTGGCCAACATCTCTGTCTCTGGCTTGCTGTAGTGTTCCAGCGAAGCTCAACGCAAGCTAGAAGAACAACACCTCATTTTCGCTTGGGGACCCTACAGCCCTCCGGACTCAATATCGAGTTCAATAATTTTAGGGCCTAAACTCTCCCAAGTCCCAGCCCCCTACGCAACACACCAGGCCTTGTTACCACATTGCCTGCCACTACACACCACTTGTTGTTAGTCACTAATAGTCCCCATTAAAACTATTCACCCTCCCAGGCTGATCGTTATCAACTATGTCTGTCCAACTGCTCTTCTCTCTCTTTAGGCTCTATCCTATTATTTACTCCCTACCCCATCCCCTCCCATTTTTCTGCATATAAATTTCCAAGCCACCATCAGTTCTGAGGATCAAGGCTCACTGGACCTGAAATGTTAACTCTGACTTTTTCTTCACAGATGCTGCCAGACCTGCTGAGCTTTTCCAGCAACTTTGTTTATGTTCCTGATTTACAGTATCCACACTTCTTTCGATTTTTAGTTAAGGATGACAACCTGATTCCCAGAAGCTATTCCAAAAACAGCAATTACAACTAAGGTAATAATGGTAAGATTACTTCAGTTTTTTTTAATGAACTACCAATTCATTACAATTGGATCAGGGATTTAACTTTACATCTAAATTTTTTCAGGACAAAAGCAGCAATCCGCAATTGAAGTGTACTGTCTGTCATCTGCAAACATGATACTGTACAATCAGGCAATGAATAAGGTATATTGTCACAAATACAGAATTAGGGCAAAGGATTAGATTTCTGAATCTTTGCTGCCAGAGCTTCCCTGATTGAATCTACTAGATTTTGTCTAATCAACTTGATCTATGGTCATGAAATAAACAATTTGTTAAAAATGATTCAGGAAAAATTCTCAAGGCAAAGGGATGAATCATTAATGTTGGATAATGTGTCTATGTATCTACAGGGCCATTCTAGAATGACACTAGCGTTTATCTTTTATGGAAAAGACTGACCCAGTTGGTATCCAAAATAAAAACCTAGTAAATTTAGCACCTTTTAGAGTTATTCATATTAACACCTCCAACAACTCCAATAGCTTTGCCCATCATTGAGATTCCAGGTTCAGAGTGCTCATACGACAGCGTCAGGGAATTTCAACACCTATAGCTAAGATCATGGTATACATGTATACTTACGTGGCAAATATTCAGTGTTGAGCACACAATGGGCTCATAGCTAGTCTTGTTAGTAACCTTGCACATCTTTTATAGTCTGAAAAAAAGCACACAATAAAATTATCTAATTAATTACTTAGACAACAATTACTTCTATGAACAATTTTATTCAAAAACTAGTGGAATTCTTGAACGTTTTTAATCAGTTGCTAAAGTTCAATGTAAAACTGAACCGGGTCCAGAAAGCTAAACTCCAGAGAAAGTTCTGAATAACCTTCAAAAAATATTGGTTGTTCGCCATTTGATATTTAGTGTCCACTTCCAGATACCACATTTTAGGAGGGGCGTAAAGGCTTCAGAAAGGGTGTAGAAAAAATTTCCAAGAATGGTTCGTGTATGAGGGACTTCAGTTACAAGTATGATTAAATAAACTGTGGTTATAGTCTGTTTAGAAGTGAAGGTTGTGAGGAAATTTGATCGAGGTGTTCAAAATCATGAGGAATTTGGATAGAATACATCAGGAGATATTTTTCCTATTTATAAAATGTTCAAGCACCAGAGAATAGACATCAGCTTAAAATGTTTTTCAAAAGAACCTTAAACAACATGAAGAAAAGCATTTTATATAACAAATTGTTATACTTTGAAATGCTGTATCAGAAAGGGTTACGGAGAAAAAGTCAAATATTGAATAATTAATCAGATACATGAAAGAAAAAAAGTGCATAGCTATGGGAAGGGACTGAGAATTTGTACTTGAATAAACTATCTTAAAGGTAAAGTCACCACAGTCTTACTAGACCACAGGGCTATTCTCTCATTAGAGAGACAGAGAGAACTGGTGATGACCTGAGGGTCACTACACCTGAGGTGAGGGGAAAGGTTAAGGACAATCTTTCATGGGAACCTCAACCAGTGTGGGAATTGAATCTATGCTGTTGGCATCATTCCATGTTACAAACCAGCTATCCCGCTAACTAAGCTAACTGACCCTCTAAACTATTGAACAGAATATAAAACAGAATTTTTAATTAAAATCAATGGGTTAAGATCTATTAAATTTGAAAAACATGTGTACTGACTTTCACATGCTCAGAATGTCCCAGATTGCTTTTTAATGAAGTAATTTTTAAGTGTGGTTGTTATTTTAGGTGTGTTACTAAATCAGTAAAAGCATTTTTTCAAGCACACCATGAAGGAGATGCAACTTACACCTTATTTCCAGCAGAAATTATATGATGCATAGACAGGTGTCAGCCTGAAATCCAATCTAAAATCATGAAACTTGAGAACCGTGGACAATAGTTCATAATGCAACTTCTTGTTGAGACCTGGCAAATTCCAACCAGTTCTGTCATCATCTGTCTGGTAGATCTTCAGATGGGAGGGAAAGAACTGGCAATGACGACTCTGTCTGGCACTTGTTAGAGTATTTTGTAATGCCAGAGGGAGCACTCTTACCCTTTTGGGCTTTGCAGTAAAACAATATAAATATGATCAATGTCATCTTGAAGTGACCTTCCCAGCCCCATTACAGATGATGGGTTACAGTGCTGGAAATCTGGACACGGGATGTACAATTCATACACTGTCCAAATTTACACTAATATCGATTCGGTCCTACATTCTCATTTTTGGGATCCTAAATGCCTAATTCAGGCAAACACCCTGCCCTCCAAAGGGTGTCAGCTATAAATTTCATACCCAGTGCATTTCTGGGAGTGAGTGAGCATGGCTGAATTATGTCCAGAACGTAAAGAACCAAGAAAGTATCACACAGAGCCTCCAACTAACATCAACAGATCATAAGTTGTAACTCATTCAGTTTTTTTTAGACTGGCAAGAACATAATTTCATAGCAAATTAATTATTTCTAAATTGTCCTCCAACCTGTAAAAACTTCAGCATCAACAACAACTTAAATTCAAATTTGGAGGTATACTGCAGTTTCTTTGTCATCATTTGGACTGTATCCTGGAATTCCTCATCCGATATTCCAGAAGAATTATTATGCAGGAGGCACTATCACCTTAGATGTTGCAGTGGTTCACTGAGGCATCAAGTAAGTGAGGCATCTTAAACCTCAGGTGCTCATGCATGTTATGATGATTGTCCTGAGGATTAGAATGCAGGAGAACAATGCAGGGCAGTGCTACTGTGAGTAAACATGAAACAAATGTAGTGCTTTCTTCTTAAAAATCATCGACTGTTAGGGCCTGTGGAGTGGTTAAGGTTGTCCAATGATAAAATGGGTGGCACGGTGACTCAGTGGTTAGCACTGCTGCCTCACAGTGCCAGGGACCTGGGTTCGATTCCACCCTCGGGTGACTGTCTGTGTGGAGTTTGCATATTCTCCTCATGTCTGTGTGGGTTTCCTTTGGGTGCTTTGGTTTCCTCCCACAGTCCAAAGATGTGCAGACTAGGTGATTGGCCATGCTAAATTGCCTGTAGTGTTCAGGGATGTGTTGATTAAGTGGGTTATAGGGGAATGTGTCTAGGTGGAATGCTCTGAGGGTTAGTGTGGACTTGTTGGGCTGAAGGACCTGTTTCCACACTGTAGGGATTCTGTGATCTGTTGCTTTTTTATTGCAAAGGCTCTTTTTGCAAAACAGATAAAATGCTAATGATACAAGTTGAGGAAAATATGCAGCTCCACACCCTGAGGCATTGTTACTTAATGAGTTGGAATGGGAAAAGGACCAATAAATCTGGATTTCAACATTGTTTGGCATAATCCATGTAAAAAAGACATGTATCATGATATATTTGGCAAAACACAATACAGTTTAAAGGTGCTGTCTCACACCTGTGGACAGAAAAGGTAGGAGCATGGCCAGGCAGTCAAAGGCACTGGTTTAAGAGTCAGTGAGTTCAAATAAAGACTCAACTCCCATCTGTCCCAGAGGTATGTCATAACAAGCCTGAAAAGCAATTTAAACGACAGGAGATGAAATCCGTATAAGATGAGTAGAGTTTGTTGATCAGATATTTCTAATCAACCTGTTCAGGTATGTCTGGAGTATGATGAGATTTGGAGCCTGGTTTTCAAGCTCAGAAGTAGAAACACTACCACGACACTGTGGAGCCCCCAGAATGTTTTGTATTCTGTTCAGATTGTAGGAAAAGTACTTCTTAAATTGCATTTACCCTAATTGTTACACACTTAAGGAATATATTGACATGACACTAAGATGTCATGTTGCTGTTATGTTATAGTATCACTTTGACAACTGGTATTTAGTCATACCAACAGAGAGAAACAAATTATAGTGCTTGTCTTTATCAGATTATCTTGGGAAAAAAGGCATAAGATCATTGACTATGTCCTTGTATGATGCTTCCACCTGTATTTGAATCATAAAATTATACAAAACAAGAGACTATTTGGTATAGAGATAGCAGGAACTGCAGATACTGGAGAATCTGAGATAACAAGGTGTAGAGCTGGATGAACACAGCAGGCCAAGCAGCATCAGAAGAGCAGGAAGGCTGACGTTTCGGGCCTAGACCCTTCTTCAGAAATGGGGGAGGGGAAGGGGGTTCTGAAGTAAATAGGGAGAGAGGGGGAGGCAGATAGAAGATGGATAGAGGAGAAGATAGGTGGAGAGGAGACAGACCGGTCAACGAGGCGGGGATGGAGCCAGTAAAGGTGAGTGTAGGTGGGGAGGTAGGGAGGAGATAGGTCAGTCCAGGGAGGACGGACAAGTAAAGGGGGCCAGATGAGATTAGTCGGTAGGAGATGGGGGTGGGGCTTGAGGTGGGAGGAGGGGATAGGTGGGAGGAAGGACAGGTTAGGGATGCTGGGACGAGCTGGGCTGGTTTTGGGATGCGGTAGGGGGAGGGGAGATTTTGAAGCTTGTGAAGTCCACATTGATACCATTGGGCTGCAGGGTTCCTTTTACTGGCTCCATCCCCGCTTCTTTGACCGGTCTGTCTCCTCTCCACCTATCTTCTCCTCTATCCATCTTCTATCCACCTCCCCCTCTCTCCCTATTTATTTCAGAACCCCCTTCCTCTCCCCCATTTCTGAAGAAGGGTCTAGGCCCGAAACGTCAGCCTTCCTGCTCGTCTGATGCTGCTTGGCCTGCTGTGTTCATCCAGCTCTACACCTTGTTATCTCAGACTATTTGGTACATCATGTGTAGTCCATTCTTGCAAGAACTATCCAACTGGTCGCACCATCCAAAGCACTGTTTTTATCCCCTTATAGCATATACAAAACTGTGCATTCTGACTGAAATAAACGAAAGAACTAAGGATGCTGGAAATCTGAAACAAAAACAGAAATTACTTAAGAAACTCAGAAGGTCTGAAGAAGTGCAATTGGATTTGAAAAATTAAGCTTTCTCTCCAAAGATGCTGCAACACCTGATGAGTTTCTCCAGCAATTTCTATATTTGTTTCTGCTCTCTGACTTCTGACTCATGCAGGGATTTCTAATGTTAGAAAATCTAATCTTCCTAAGATTAGAAGCAAAGATGATTCCAAACACAGCTGGTACTCTTGTGAAATCTTTTGGTTTAAAACATTCCCTTCAATAAGTAATGATGTTGTAGCCATTTGAAACTGGAATAATGTGAGAGCATGTCCTACTTTATACAATAAGTTTGACAAACCAAAGTTACAATACAAAGACAAATCCATTTGCAATGTGCAGCTTACAATGGTTGCATCATGCATGTAGAGTGAAGTGGGAGGAGAACACTTCACTTTAAATAAAAGCAGTATGATATAAGGACATTGTATCTTCACAAAATGAAAGCCAATAGGTCAAATGACTTCCTATGTGGCTTCTGTTCAGACTGGGACAATATTTTGAGGAAGTTACTTAAAAATATAAACAGAATTCCCAGGTGCTAACTACTCCTCACCATTTCAATGGAAAAGATTTTAAAAATAATGACTACGAGACTTGTTGACCCTATGAAGCTGAAAGTCATTCAGTGAGGATGGTCATAACTGCAAAGCTGATTGACTGCCAAGCATTCACCCATTGTGTTTTAACTACATTGGCTCCAAACCATTGTGTGGTCTAAGGGATACATGGCCTGTGCCAGAGTAGAACTTTAACAGCTCTTCAGTGTCCTATTCATCGTT